CCCCCCGCCACGGACTCACAGGCCCGCGGACGCACGCCCTCCTGCCGCGGCCCTGAGGCAGGTGCCAGGAGCACTGACCGGCCACAGGGATTCTCGGGAGCGGGCACCGACTCCACTCCAGGCTGGCTGCTTAAAGCGGCTTTGCCTGTGACGCTCCTGGGCCCCGCCCCGACGGCCAGGGCCGCGTCTGGGGGCAGACATGCAGCCTGAGGTCAGGGCTGGCAGACGGGTACAGTCTAAAGCAGAGAAAACCACACACAGATCCAGGCCCCCCAAAATGAAACAGGGCTGGACTTGCTGCTCGCATCCATCGCTCTTCAGTCACACAGCCCAGGATGTCTGAGGGTGCCCTGGGCTATGACGTCACCGGGCAGCGCCCCGGGAAATGGCCTGGAGGGCCTTGTCTGGGCCTGTGCCGACCGCACATGCAGCCATGCAAACATGCACTCATGCAACACTGCAGCACACAGCAGTGCAGAACGCAAAGAGAGCCCAGGTGCCGTGCCCGCGTGGGCCAGGTCTCCTTACCAAACAGCGAGATCCTATGCCTGACAAGAACTCCAAGTTTGCAGAACAGGCTGAAGACAAAAGAAAAACAAAAGAGGGGGGAGGGAAGGTAGAGAAGACAGGGGGAATTAAACATAAATAAATAAAAGAAGAAGGAAAAAAAATAAAACAGCTGATATGTGAGCTGGAAAAGCAACATGATGTCACGCAGGGAGAGTTCACTATCTAGCAGAATGGGGAGTAAGGCATTAAAGAAAATCTTTGAGGGCATATCTTTGACAAACACGGTTAAAAAGCACAGATTATAAGTAAAGAAACAAAAAAATTGAAAGCAAAGCTAATATAAAAGCAATCTATATGAGCCCCACGAGAATATAACTTAAAAAAATCATAGGGAAAAATTTTGACTTTTATCTGTCCAAATGCGCCCCTGGAATCCTAGGCTTCTAGGTGGGGGCGTCCTTCAACACCAGACCTACGGCATTCCGGAAGACGCGACTCAGAGGCTCAGCACGTTTACTCCTACGAATGCCTTTCTTCCCAAGCCCTGACTTGAACCCTTACAAGTAACATCCAGGGAGTATGGCGCAGTGAAGTGGATACAGTGTGAACTGGGACCGCCCAGAACAAGCAGCACAGCTGTGGCCACCGAGGGCACGTGCTCACGAGGACAGGCATGTTTCCCGTCTGCTCTGAACAGGTCCTGGCTGTGCCCTTCCCGGCGGTTATCAAGGGGCGACTCCAGCCAGGTTGGCCTTCACCCGGCATCAGCATGCCAGCCTGGGACAGCCCTGCCCCTGCCCCGTCTGTCTACGCCCCTCCATCCAGGGGTTGCCTGGCTCCCTGCAGAACCCCCGCCCGTCACTGCGACAGGGTGACCTAACATCCCTCAGCCCAGGCAGGTGTGTTTACTCCCAGGAGCCTTTCCGGCTGCTCCTCGACCGCCCTACCAGGCCTTCCCAGGGCCACCTGCGAACCCCGGACTTTATTCTCAACCATGCCATGTCCTTCAGAGTGCCCAAGGGCCTCGACCCTGCACAGTCACCCCCAAACTGAGCTGGAGGGCCCTCGCCAGGCTCCGCCCCACACTCGTCCGGGTGTCCCCACGGCCCTCCTGTGTCCAGGGTTAGAGAAGCAGAGGCCTGGAAGGAGACGAAGACAACAGACCATGGCAGGGCAGCGACGGGAGGGCCGTGCTGCGGGTTGCCACTTTCACAGGGACCTGGGAGTCCCTTTAGTCTGTGGTGGACCCACGGATGCAGACAGACTCTTCTGGGCACCTGTGCTTTCCCAGAGACACTCGGGCACAGATGTGCATGCCCTGGAGTCTGGAGGCTTGGAGAGTCACAGCCCGACAGTGGCTACCATCCAGCCTGCGGCCTGGCCTGCACCATGCAGCTATGCCGCGTTTGCAGGACCATGGACGAGAGCAGCCCCCGCCGGCACGTCCACCAGCCTCCTGGCGGGCACCTGGCCCAATGAGGCCACCTCCTGAGGCGAGCAGTCACGTTGAGGGCTGTGCACTCTGGACCCGTGTCCTGCCGCTGTCTCCCCGGGAGCCGGGGGTCCTCCATGATGTCAGGTGTGCGAGGCCAGCATCAAGTCCCCATCCGGAACGCAGCGTCCTGCTATGATGGAATGGCACCGGTGGTCTCCATGCTGGCCGGTCACAGGCCCAGCCGGTCCATGCTCGCAGTTCCGACGCCTCCTCATGGCCTTCCCGGCTCATTCCCCCACGTCCTGGGCTCTTGGGCTGCCTCGGGAAACGGCACTGTGCCCTCTGATGACTCGTCCCCTGTTCCTCGAGGACCTGCTGTGGAGCCTCCAGGTGTGGGATCCAGACAGCTCCCACCCCCGCCCGGATGACCCCAGCTTCGCGGTGCCGCCGCCTGCCTCCACGAGCACCCCGCAGTCCCGCCGTCTGCAGTGTCTGGCCAGAACCCCGCCAGCCCTCACAGGTCGGGCATACCGGCCCAGTCTATGCCTCCGGGAACGAGGTCTCCCTGAGGTCCGCGGCCTTGTGAGCCGCCCAGCAGCTCCACCCCCAGACGTGCACCGAGCACCACATCCGCTCCTCTGTCCACTGGCTGGGCAGCTCGTGGCCAATGTCGGCAAGGTCCTCTCCCCACGTGTCCCATCCGCCATGACAGCTCCCGGTGTCCCAGCACCATGAGAGGTTGCGCGGACACTCGCCGCAGCTCCCCGTGCAGTCAGCTGGCGTGTACAGGCGTGCACCCCGCGATGGGGGCTGGGCCGTGGCCACCCCCTCGCCCTGCCCGTGGTGGGCACCCCAGTGACACTGGGCAGGCAGTGGGCAGCACCGTCCTCCGCTCAGAGGCTCAGGGGCCGCCACGGCCCCCCGACCCACACGGCCTCTCAGGGTGCCTGCCCTGAGCAGCCCCACACCCACTGTCCAGGCCATCTGGTCCCTGTCCTGCTTGGAGAGCGTCACTGGTCTCCCGCTGCTGGCAAGCTAATAATGATGATGATAATAATAATAATAATAATAATTTAAAAGTCACACAAAGACCCACGGTGGTGGGACACGCCTGCTGCCTACACTGACTGGGAGGCAGGGTGCAGGGTCACAACGTGGTAAGACCCTGTCAGCACACTCTGTCCTGTCTCTGTTCTTTTTCTCTCCTCTCTCTGTCCTGTCTCTGTCTCTCTCTTACCTCTGTCCTGTTTCTGTCCTACCTCTGTCCTGTCTCTCCTATCTCTGTTCTGTCTCTTTCCTGTCTCTGTCCTATCTCTGTCTCTCTCACCTCTGTTCTGTCTCTCTCCAGTCTCTATCTTCTCTCTCTCCTGTCTCTGTCCAATCTCTGTCCTGTTTCTGTTCTGTCTCTTATCTCTGTCCTGTCTCTGTGCTATCCCTGTTCTGTCTCTTATCTCTGTCCTATCTCTCACTCCTGTATCTCCCCTGTCTCTGTCCTGTCTCTGTCTCACTCCTGTATCTCTCCTGTCTCTGTCTCATCTCCCTCCCTCCCCGTGCCTCTGTTCTCTGTTCCACAGGAAGAAGCGATGGAGCCTTCCCTGGCGACTGACGTCGGTCACCACCCGTGTGACCACCCCTAAATCACCAACCCCACACTTCACTCCTGATGTCTTCGACAGCCACGGATGACCCCACCTCAGACTCGGCCACAGCTGCTCCAGACCCGCCTGGAACGGCGCTGGCTGTGCAGGCCAGAGCCCCACCCCCGGGGGCTCACGGACTCGGAGCCCACACCCAGACATGCGAAGCAGCACCGTGGCCCGGGCCGCGTGCGAAGGGCCGCTCCTCTGTCAGCTTGTCCCACAGACCTGCCCGCCTTTACCCTCCTTCTACCCATCTCACGGAAGCTGGGACATCAGCCCCAGTGACCGCAACCTGACGCTTACGAGTTCCAGTGATTCCACTTCATGTCAACAAATCGGGCTGTTTCTGTGACTGCGAGGTGCCGCTAGTGGGTTAAAGACGTGACCAGCGTGATTACAAAACTAGCACTTGTTCTTCTTTGTGTTGACTTCTTGCCAGAGGGCCCCTGTGCTCACCAGAGAGCGGAGAGGGAGGTGGCACCTCCAGAGGACGGATGCACCACAGCCCTCTCCCCCTCCCCTCCTGTCGGGGTTCCAGACACATGCATGTGTACCTGGCATGTTTGTGGGGGTCTTTAGGAGAGGTTTTTGCAATAGGGCATGTGTACTCACCAGAGAGAGAGAGACAGAGAGACAGAGAGACAGAAAGCAAGAAATCACTCCCCAAGGGGATGGCCATGCCACAATCCCTTCTCCTCCATTCTCTTCTCAGGATCTTGGGCATGCACGCACACGCGCCCGATGTGAGTCTTTTGTAAGTCGTTGAGTTCAGGACTTGAACCACAGTCGACATGTGGGAGTCCAGCAATGTAACCCTTCCGCCATCTGCTGGTGCCCCTGGCATGCTTTTCAAGCCCCTGAGTTCGGGATGCAAGCCATGCAGTCTACCATGTGGAAGTCTGGCCACCTATCACCACGCCCCACTCTCTCATTTTAAAAATTTAGAAAAATACATGAAAATAGTAAAAAAAAAAAAAAAAAAAAGGGAACCAGCAGTTAGTGTAATGGCTATGTCGCTGGACTCCCACGTAGTCGGCCGCGGTTCACGTCCCGGACCCGGTGGCTTAAATCTCACGCCGGGCGCATGTGCGTGCGTGCCCAAGATCCCGAGAGGAGAATGGAGGAGAAGGGATTGCGGCGTGACCATCCCCCCTGGGGGGTGATTTCTCGCTTTCTGTCTCTCTGTCTCTCTTTCTGTCTGGCGAGCGCACATGCCCTATAGCAAAAAACCTCTCCAAAAAAAATAGTAAAAAAAAAAAAAAAATGCCCAGCTATCTGAAGGGAACAACTATAGAAATTAAATTTATTCCCTATCAGTGTTTTTTTTAACAAACAAAAGTAGGGATTTTTTAAATTTTGTTAATACTAACGGAACCTATATTTACGTCTTATCATGGTCATTGCCCACACTACTGGCTATCCATACCCAGCACGGTGTCAGGGGCTCCGTGGCATTTTCGTGGACCTGAGCCGTAATTCCCTTATCAGTATTTGGTCACCTCCTGTGACTCTCTGCGCGGCTAAGCACCACGTGACTCGCCCTAAAGCATCCGCAAAGCCAGTCACCTCCAGGAAGCAGCTCCCTCCTCTTCCGAATGGCATGAGCTCCCTGTGGGGAAACGCTGCCAGGAGAGGTGAAGTTCCCAACCCGCTTTCACGCAGTGAAGGGCAACTGAAGACGGTTCACTGAAACCCTCTGGTGCAGCGTCATCAGGGACAAGCCGGCTGGGACGCTCTAGGCCCCACCTCAACCCTGGTGCCCTGGCTCACCCCGAGGGGTGCAGAGTCGGGGAAACGCTCGGTTTGGGCTGGGCGGCCCTGAGTTCTCGGCTTTATGGAGCCCTAACAGCATCGCGTGCCCAGGCGCACATGCGTACCCCGTGTGGGTGAGACCCTCTGGGAGGGTGGGCGGCTGACGAAGGCCGTGTGAGCAGGAGAGGGGAGCAGCCCGGCCTGGTGCGTGTTCCCGTCTCCCTGACTGCGCTTCTCGTGACATCCCGGTGGAATCACACGTCTAGAGGCACTTGGTTTGGATGGGGCACGACAGCGGCTAGGACACCAGCTGACCTGCAGAGACCACCCATTTCTGCTCCCTCTTCTCCCAGGACTTGTCACCACGAGTGAAAATTCACAGTAAACCTGGGTCCGCGTGACCCTGCCTTCCTGACACACAAAGGGCCCAGCAATGGTGAAGGGCCGGCAGGTGCTGACGGCGTCACCGGCACGCTTAGGAGGTGCCGTGGCCGTGACCCGCACACGGGCGGGGGCTGAAGGTCATGCTGGGAATGTCTAGGCCTCACCCTCACTCTGCCCACACAGACTCACAGGGGCCACCCTCCCCGGGGCTATCGTCTGGTCCACAGAGCACGGGACGGGTCCCTGCGCAGGCACCCTCAACACCCTCAGGTTCCCGCACGCCCACACGGAGCACGCGACGTGGTCCCTGTGGCCTGTACCTGGTCACCATCTCCTTCTCCTTATTGGATGCGTGTCCCCCGGAGCAGAGGGGGCGGCTCGCAGCGGACAGGAAGTACAGGCGGTGGTTCTTGAAATACTGATCAATCAGCGGAAGAACGACCTGAAAGGAAGGAGAGGAATACGGGTCTCCATGGGGCTCTGGGGTGTGGCAGGGCCAGCACGGGATCCACGGAGCTCCGTCCACGCGCGCCAGGCCCCGTCCACAACGGCCCTCACCCTGCTGTCCCAGGTCCCTGCACTAGGCTGGGGTGGCAGGATGCGGTGGTCTGACTATGGGGAACAGAGCAAACTGTCAACTGCTTGGACTGTCTCCAACGTCGCCTCGAAATGGAAGTCTCGGTACTCCTCGCAGCACTGCGCTCACCAGCAGGGCCCACGACGGGCGTGTCATCGAGGCACTGACCCTTCAGATGGAAGGCGCCTCGTCCCTGCTCAGGGGGCAGAGTGCGAGCGACCGCCCGGGGTGCGCCCACTCACTTGCGCACTCACCGACACAGCGCTCTGTGTGCCTGGCCTTTCTCCACCCCCGCCCCCATGCATGCAGCTCCCTGCGACCTGGCCAGGCCCTTCTCACTCTGCCCGTCCAGACGCGCAGCCTTGACCTGCCTCCCGTGGTCTGACATGCTCTCTGCTGCACCCCTGCAGACCCTGCTCAGACCTAGCCAGCGAGCCTCTGCTAGCGTCCCCACAGGACCATGTCCTCTGCCCTGTGGTGTGGTGGCCTTGGTGTTCCATGGTGGCATTCTGCACTGCAGTCTCTGTCCCTCAGAACTCCTCGGGGCACAAGGGCCAGAACCCTCCTGGGTGTGGCCACCATCACCCCTTCTGGGGCTCTGCACCTGCTGCTGGGCTGCCCTGTCCCCCGACCCTGTGTGCAGGGCCCTGTGGGCCAGAGCCAGCACTAGTGAAATGTGTGTTGATTGAATAAATAAACATGGATGACAGCGGGCACTGCCACGGCAACCCGAGTCTGTCCAGACACAGCCCCTCTCTTGCCGGGCGGTGTGGTGCAGCCACGTACGTGCAGTCTTCGAAAACTCCCTGGCAAATGAAAATGAAACTGCACAGATGTCAAAATTATTTTTGCACCAAAATAAACTTGTGCTTTAATTTCATTTTCCCGTGAACTTTTTAAAATCCACTTAAACTCTGAACGGAAACTGAAAGTAATTCTTAGGTCTTCAGGTGAACTGTGAGGTACTTGAACAGGAAGCCTCCCATGGACTGGGGCTTCAGGACAGCGGCCGGTCTGCAGTCTCACGCCCGCCTGACCGGACAGCAGCGAGCAGAGCGCGGACGAGTTCAGCCCGCGACCCCGCGACCTCCAACTCCTCCCTCGGGAAGTGCCGGCTGTTCCAGGGACACAGCGAGTCCTTGGTGCATGAAGGGCAACTGGGGGTGCCTGTGCGTGGACCCTGACTGCACCCTGGGGTCAGCCTCCTTGTCTGCACAGACAGGACGGAGGCCCCCATCTAGGCTCTGTGCCCAGGGTCCCTGCAGGGGACAGATGCGTTCACCTAACAATGTACTGTATCGTATTCCAACATTAGGGAATAGACTTTTTCTTTTGTGTCATGTGGTAAAGCCAAGAAATTAGAACTTCAAACTAGACCTCACCCGGAACCTCGTGTCTCAGGAACAGGTAGGGAGGGCAGAGTGAGGCAGGGCGGCCAAGCACACGCGTGATCCCGCACACGACCCCCGCGCACGCGTGATCCCGCACACGACCCCCGTGCACGCGATGCCCATGGACCCTTGCATGTGCAAGGCCCTGAGAGCACGTCTGCACATAGACCTCGGCGGGCTGCAGCCCACGCACTGCACCTTGGCGAAGAACTTGACCTCCTGCTCGTGGGGGAAATGCCCTCCTTGGCCCCTGCCGCCGCCATCTGTGGACAAGGACGAGAGGGTTAGGCATGCACGCTGCACTCGGACACAGCAGGCCACCGAGGGCAAAGCCGGAGCGAGCCACGAGCGGACCGCGGGGAGCACGGCGTGGAGGCTGACCTCAGCCCCGGGCCGTGCTTGCATCAGGCCTTCCGCGCTGCGCACGCCCCGCCCCGCCCAAGCTGTTGTGCTTTTTATCATAAAGCGATGCTGGACTCTCACTGCTTTCTCCCTCTGTCGAGACGGTCACGAGGCTTTTCCCTTCTTGACGGCGTGGTGGGTCGGACCCTCCCTGCACCCGAGGTAAACTGCGTGCCCGGGAGAGCGTCTGTGGTGGGCTGGGCCGCTGCGGGGGCTGTGCAGGGCCGGGGAGGGCCTTTGCGCTGACCCCCGTCAGGGCTGCTGGAGTGGTTTGGGCATCAGGGTAACATGGGGAGGGCTTCCCCACTTGCACCGTCGGCTGAAGTGAGACACCTCACAACGTGCGAGGCCCCTCGCCACCCCAACGCCACTCCAGTTTCAGCCTGGATGGGCGTACCACCGAGCAAGGGCTTCGGCCACGCGTTCTTCCAAACAAGGGCTGTAAAAGAGCCCAGGGCCACTAGTGAGGACATGGTTCTCGGGACCCTGAGCAGGGCTCGCTGCGGCCCCGCGGTCTCCCTGACGGTGGAGATCGAGCATGGTGAAAAGCCCACATCCTCACAGCAGTCGGGACGCGGGCTCACCGGGGCGAGAGGGCGAGCGTGCACCACGCCGAGCATACGTGCCTGGGTCCAGCCCGGGATTTAAGGGACCGACTGAGAAGCTGCAGGAAGCCAGGCCTGCTGTGGAGGCGGCCACCCGGGGAGGGCTTCCAGCACAGGGTGAGGCAGCCTTGGTGCGAGGCGCCGGGCTGGTGGACAGGCCTTTTGCGGGCGCCGCCCCGAGCAGGGAGCCCTGTCCTCAGGCCCTGAGGGTGCTTGTCCCCGCCCAGGCTGCACACAGGCCTCGCGATGCTCAGGGTTTAGAGAACCCTAGAGTTTCAAAGCTTTCTTGTTTATTTGTATTTTTAATTTTTTTAATTTTAATTTATTTTATACATTAGTCACTATCTATTGCTTAGCTTGAAAACTGAATTTACCCAACATGAATAAGTAGAGCAACGAATTCATAAAGATTAAACCTATCTGATTGTGGTGTCCTGAGGCCGGCAGGTGGCATGGTGGCTGAGGCACTGGCCCCCCACATGCTGACTGCTGCTTGATTCTCAGACCCCGCGGCTTGAAAATCACACCAGGCACGTACGTGTGTCCCAAATCCCGAGGAAAATTGAGGAGAAGGGATTGTAGCTTGGTCATCACCCCGGGTGGGGGTGGGGGCGATTTCTCACTTTCTCTGTCTCGCTCCGTCGAGAGCAAGTGCCTCAGAGAAAAGAAAAAAAAGTCTGGGCCCTCCCAACATAGTCTTCAAAACGAGACCGAAAGCCAGCGCACATCGCGGGGGCAAGCAAGGGGGCGCCTCACTCCGAGTCACTTCACCCACTCCCTGCACCATCTGTCCGTGGTGGACCTCTGCTCAGTGCTCGGAGCGGCAGGACGGGCCGATGCCGTCAGGACCCGACCGAGCAGCCATGCCGCCCACACCTGGTGCCGACAGGTCAGGGACATGGGCTGGGCCTGGGCCACGCCCCGCACCTACCGAACTCCAGGATGTGCTGGTGGGCCGCGTCCACACAGTGCACCAGCTGCTGCAGGAGGCTGTAGGCGAAGCGCTTCTCCACCGAGGGCGTGTCCAGCTCCAGGTCCTGGAACCCTCTGGGCCGGCAAAGGAGAGCAGAGGTCATCGTACAGAGCCACTCCGAAGGTGAAGAGAGTGAGCGTGTGTCATGTACATATCTCTACGGACTGGAAGGTCACATGTAAAACTCCCCAGCTGCAAGCGACGGAGGCCTCGGCGACTGTCACTGCGCCATGACGTGCCGCCGTGGCAGAGACAGCAGGGTAGCTCGGGATGTCACCTGAACACAGAGTACCCGGCACTCTTGGTGTGGAGGCCGTGTGGATTTGAATACATGAAATAGCTCGAAGGCTTACACGTGACACTGTCTTCAGTCTAAATCACAGACATTGAAACAGTCTGTTATGTTCTTGTCGTGTGGCATGTGCACTCACCAGAGAAGGAGAGCAACAGTGAGAAACCGCCCCAGGGGGTGGTCACACCACAGTCCCTTCTCCTCTGGGATTTAGGGCATGCACGCACACATGCCTAGCATGATTTTCAAGCCACAGGTCCAGGACCTGAACCACAGTGGGCTACGTGGGAATCCAGGTCCTGGGGCACCATGCCACTGCTGGTCCTGAGACAGGTAGCCTGGGAGAGTGTGTGTGAGCAGGGGCGTGCTTTACCGGGACACGGCGTATCCGTTGATCTGCAGAAACTTGAGGATGTCCTGAGCCTTCTCCCGATCCCTGGCTTTCTCCTTGGCGGTCAGCGTGTCATAGGGCACCAGCAGGGGGTGGCTGCCCCCTCCTAGAACAGCGGACGAGACCAAGCACAGGCTGTGTCAGGCGGATGGGCGCTCACCCCACACCTCTAATGGTCTGCTGAGCGCCCGAAAGGTGCAGGGAGCTCGGGAAACCTGCCAAAAGCCCGGGTCTGCCTTCTGAGAGGGGACTGGGCCGGCAGCAAGCAGCACTTGGGACAGTCCCTGGGGCTCGGATTCCAAATGAGGAGGGTGGGAAGGCGCTCTACGTGCCACTGGGTCCACTTACAAGTGACACAGCGTGTCCCCGGGGCCTGGCTTCGTTTTCTGCGCCACAGAGAGCAGAAAAAATGTCCTAACGCGGACCTCCTGGGGCCTTCCAGACGGAGCGCCGAGGAGGCCCATTACTCACCAGCACAGAGCCACACGCGGGTGCAGGGCAGAAGCTGGCCTCTCTAACGTGACCGAATCCCAACCGACAAACTTGGGACAGGTCACGGCTCGCGAATATGTTCCTACCATACCTCTCCTGCTCGAAAATACTGGGAACATTTTGTTCTTTAAGATTTAAAAGTTTTAAAAGTATATAAAATTATGAGACCAGCAGTTAGAGTAATGGCTATGTCGCTGGACTCCCACATAGTCGACAGCAGTTTGAGTCCCAGACCCAGTGGCTTAAATTCACACCCGGCCAGTGCACGTGCACGTGCACGTGTGTACCCAAGATCCCGAGAGGAGAATGGAGGAGAAAGGATTGTGGCGTGGCCATCCCCCCTGGGGGTGATTTCTCGCTTTCTGTCTCTGTCTTTCTGGCGAGCGCACATGCCCTATAGCAAAATAAAAAAAAAAAAAAAAAAGAACATTACTGTGTCCACTGGGATGAGGGGAAACAGCACTGGCCCAGAAAATCAGGGTCCAGGTGGTGAGCCAGGGGCGACAGAGACGTGGCGGGTGGAGCTCGCCCTGCATGGGCAACTGCCAGCAACATGCAGGGGGCTCGGCAGCGCTCTGGAGCTGGCCTGGGCAGAACTTCACGGCCAGGAGAGGGCACTGTTGTACCCCGAGGCACAGGTCCACCTGGCACAGGACGGAGCCACCAGCCACTGCACACATGACAGGGAGGCCATCAGCAGCATCAGTGGGGCACAGCCGTCAGGGGATGGTGCTACTGAACACGCAAGTGCCTCCAATCGGGCACGGAGCCGCGTCGCCCCTTCCTCATCAAAGCTGCCCCTCAGGGGGGCTTCGTGAGAACAAACGAAAGTCAAGGGTCTAGTTTAGCCGAGTGTGAACCGATCGGCGTCTCTGAACTCCTAACTGCACTGAGCCCGAGAGGATTACGTGTGCTTGGCGACCTTGCTGTCATCCACACGACTCGGGGTCAGATACTGATCGTTACTCTGGGGAGCAAGATGGAGGGAGCGATGCAGCCATGCCTTGCTTAGTGACAGGGACAGCCCTGGCGACTCGTGCTTTGAAACGTCACAGGTCACGTGGGCCCAGGCCCCGGCACAGCCTGCTGCAGCCTGTGAGCCTGGTCACACAGGGGCCTGTGCTGACCAACGTCACTGCGGTGATGAGATTCCCAAAGACCACTGGCCAGGGCAAGCAAGCAGAAATGTTTTTCCGGATTTTTCTTCCTTTATTTGCCAGAACGCATGTGCACTCACAGAGAGACGGAGAGAGACGGAGAGAGAGACAGAGAGAGACGGAGAGTGAGAAAGCTCCCCCACACAGAAAGGCTATGCCAGCCCCTTCTCCACACCCCTCCTTCCGGGGTCTCGGGCTGCACGCACACTTGCCCGGTGTGCTTCTTAAGCCATGGCGTCTGAGACTTGAACCGCGGGGCCGGCCATGTGGGATCCAGCCTTTTTTAAAATAATTATTTTATTTTTTTATTTAATTCTATTTATTATTATTATTATTACTATTACTATTACTATTACTATTACTATTACTATTACTATTTGGTTTGATCAGACAGAAAGAGAGAGAGAAAAAATGAGAAAACAAGCTACCAGGTCCAGGACTTGAACTGTGGTCGGCCATGTGGGAGTCCAGCACCTTTAACCACCACGCCACCTGCTATCCCCAAGATCTGGCTTTCACCACCACACTGTGGGCTGGCCTGAACTCTGACTGTTCTTTACGAAGGGTTTTAGAAAACATTACCTTTGGGGGTAATAATTATTAATAAAATATTACCAGTTGGCGTAATGGCTATGTCACCAGACTCCCATGTAGTTGACCCCGGTTTGAGTTCCAGACCCGGGGGCTTAAACTCACACCAGGCGCGTGTGCGTGCATGCCCAAGATCCCGAGAGGAGAATGGAGGAGAAGGGATTGTGGCGTGGCCATCCCCCCTGGGGGGTGATTTCTCACTTTCTGTCTCTCTGTCTCTCTCTGTCTGTTTAGCGAGCACGTGTGCCCTATAGCAAAAACCTCTCAAAAAAAAAAAAAATTACCTTTGGACTCCAGCTCCAGCTTCTTCTTCTTCGCCCATATGTTGTGGTAGTTCTCAGCCATCATCTCTGCCATAGCCTTGATGGGCAAAACATTTGGAACCAGTTACACTTCCTCAGTGACTAAAAAGACCACACTGTTCTCCACTGTGTGACATCAAACACATCTTAACTGAGTAACTCACAGGGCATTCGTGCTAGAACACATTTACGAGCTACCCAAACACAACTCTGATCTGGAACCCGCGTCCCAGAGAATGCTGAGGTGTACAGCACAGCAGTGCTCGGACAGCTGACCTGACAGGCCAGTCCTTGCTGAGACGCCCAAGACACGTGTTCCATGAGCTCAGTAACGAACGTCAACATAGCTGTGGTCTTAACAAAGTGTGTGTTTACTTATAGGCTCTTACTTTAATTTCTACAGTTCGAAATGATGATAGAAACCTCACTGAGCAACCCAGGCCAGGTACAGGGGTGACCGAGGCTGGTTCTAGGTCAGTCTCTGTCCAAACCAGGCGTGAGACCTTAGACAGGACGCGTGAACCTCTGCAGTGCTTGGATTTTGGATTCTTTCTTTTCACTTTGGACTTTCAGGTTTACGACATTTATCTTGCAGACAAGGTCTCGCTGTATACTCCAGCTCGGCCTCCCCAAGTCACTGGGATCTCAGCTCTAGGTCCCCACCCTTGCCTTTAGGATGAACCAGGATTCAAACCTGGGTCTCCCACATGGTCCCAGCCTGCAGAGCATGGCGTCCTGGCAGCCTGCGCCACCGGTTGGGACTACGCCATTTAAACCGATTCATGCAGTGAGACCGCAGGGCGGCTCGGCTCACAGCCCTCACGTCCATACGCCCTCTCTCCTGGAGCGAGACAAGGCCGCCACAGTGACTGTGGTGACTGCCCCACGGGTCGGGCTGTGTTCTCCGGCACCGAATTCCATCTTCCCTTCAAGTCTGCCATGTCGAAGCACGCTCCTCAGTGACACAGGGTGTGAGAGAGCCGAAAGTGCCCGTGACCCGGGCAGACAGCATACAGCGCACGTCTGCAGGAGCAAGGCCGGGACCCTGATGGGCGGCATCCCTCACGCCGCTGAAGGGGGTGAGGACTTTCAACGGCAGAAACGTGCCGGCGTCTCTAGGACTTCCCCGGCAGCTGTACGGATGTCCACAGCAGTAGCAGCCACATAGCCGCCAAGACCCACGGCCCGTTCTGTCTCCACACTCAGTCCACGTGGCCTGTACACCTCCTACACGCCCACCCTAGGCCCAGCCTGGGCACTCACGTGCAGGTCTCTGGACAGCGTCACGTTGCTCATGTCGAGGGCCCGCGGGCTGTAGCCATGGGCGGCGTCCATGGAAACCTAGATCCCCATGGAGACAACAGCTCATTAAAACTCCTGGAGAGACCGAAGTGACAGACAGGGAGCTTCCTCAGCTGGCACCGACGCGTGGTCTTGCAAACACACTCAGAAGTTGAATTGCACTAAGTGGCTGGTAAGTATTTTTAATTGAATAAACACATACAACAAAAGTCATCGATCAGAGTTACAAGACTGTGCAGCAAATCCAGAATCCCAAATGCTGCTTTACACAAGAGCACAGGTGGCCTGTCGCAGCTGGCATCGGCCACTGCGAGGCGCCCTCTCTGACGGAGGCACCAGGGAGGTGGGTACCAGTGAGTGCCTTTATGGCCCAAATGTCAAGTATAATACAGACGGTTTTTAAATTATGAAAGTATATCATAGAGTGGGACCAGCAGGTGGCCTAATGGCTACGTCACTGGACTCCGCATAGTCAGCCATGGTTCAAGTCCTGGATATGGCTTGAAACTCACCCCGGGAGTGTGTGCGTGTGTGCCCAGGATCCCAAGAGGAGAATGAAGAAGAAGGGATTGTGGCATGGCCATCCCCCAGTGGGTGGGGGGGTAATTTCTCGCTTTCTGATTCTGTCTCTCTGTAACTGCATGCACCCTATAGCAAAACCTCTCTAAAAAAAAAAATAAATAAAAAAAATAAATAAATAAATAAAAAACTAAATCATAGAGTATTCTATGGTTTACAAAAAAAAAAAAAAGAACCTCAATGACCAAATGACCAGAAGACTTTCGTAATTCCTAAATTTTGCCTTTTTTGGTGGGAGAGGGGGTTCTGCAGTAGAGCACATACATGTGCTGGCCAGAGAGAGGAGGACAGACAGTGAGAGGACAGACAGAGACAGACAGAGAGAGGACAGACAGAGAGAGACAGACAGAGAGAGGACAGACAGAGAGAGAGGACAGACAGAGAGAGACAGACAGAGAGAGACAAAGAGAGGACAGACAGAGGACAGACAGAGAGATGACAGACAGAGAGAGAGAGACAGAGAGAGAGACAGAGGGAGACAGACAGAGAGAGACAGACAGAGAAAAGACAGAGAGAGGACAGACAGAGAGAGACAGAGAGAGAGAGACAGACAGAGAGGACAGACAGAGAGAGAGACAGAGAGAGAGACAGAGGGAGACAGACAGAGAGAAGACAGAGAGAGACAGACAGAGACAGAGAGAAGACAGACAGAGGACAGACAGAGAGAGACAGACAGAGAGAGGACAGACAGAGAGAGGACAGACAGAGAGAGGACAGACAGAGAGAGGACAGACAG